AAAAAACTTATAGATAATAAATTCCCCTTCTTCACAGGGTTACTGTGGAGGGGACAAAGAAAGGGGGGAGATGCAACTTGGCGGTCCTCTTGCACCACTGACTGCGACGAGACATGACGGATATTGAAGTATTAACGGAGGGTTACTCCGAAAGAGCGCAAAGCGCTCAACGACCCCCCAGGATTGGAGACGCGTAACGTCAAATGAAGGCGCAACAAATTTTTAAACAATCTAGCGGCAAAAGCGAGAAAGACGCGAACTGCAGCGATGTAATGCCACCGTGAAGCCGGGCCTTGAGGCACAGTCATAAAAATCGCATTATTGCCTATCGCATTATTAAGTGGCACACAAATAATAATAATAATAATAATAATAATAATAATAATAATAATAATAATAATAATAATAATAAGTGTTCGATACATAGGAAATTTCACGCTGGTCATCGAAGTTTACAAAAGACATCGTTTAAGTTGTATACATGTATGGATGAAATAAAACTCAGGACCCTTTCACACATCGCCACCGCGACGCGCTTCCGAACGCTTTTGCGGCGTTCGGCGGCGGACCCTCGATACGACAAGTGCAATAGGGCGTACGCGCCACCGCTGGCAGAACACAGCTTTAAATGGCGGTCTTCCCACAGCGCTGCCGGACGCAGCGTCTTACCTGCTGCGGTCCCTTGGTTCGTCGTCGCCGGACGGTCGGGGAAGCCTTCCCCCGCAGAACCCATCCTCTTCCACGGCGGGAGGCGGTGCAGTGGTGGCGGCGTGGCTAGCCCTGTCGAATACCCGAAGCGCGCCGATGTGGCGCGGCGTGCAAAGCCACCATTAGCGCCAAAGCCCAAAAAGGTGACGTATGAAAAATCTCACACTGGCCAGTAGGGTTTAAAACATCGGTTTTGAAAAGACGTCATCGTTTAAGCTACTTACGTGCATTGATGAAATAAAATCCGTCAATTAGTGCCAGAGCCTGAAAAAAAGTATTTGACACATCAAACATCTCACACTGGGCAGTAGGGGGTTAATACGTCGGTTTTGAAAAAAAGTCATCGTTTAAGCTACATACTACTAAAAACGTGTTCGACACATGAAACACACTCACACTGGCCAGTAAGTGTCGCAGCGCCCCCTGATCTCTACCCTCCGCACTTTCTCCTCTCACAGAGGATCTCAACCTCTCCTCCACTCGTGGCATTGGGTCATCCAGGTGAGTACGAATGGAACCGCCTTCACGCAACCTCACCTGCCCTCCAGCGCCCCCTCTTTCCCTGCTCTGCGAGGACGATCTCATCCTTTCTTCATCCACGCGAGGTGTTGGCTTGTCCTGGAGAGGAGGAACCGAAACGCGTTTCCGCAACCCCACCTGCCCTCGAACCACCCCACTTTCTCTTCTCTTTAAGTACGACCTCACCCTTTGCTCAACCCTTGGAAGTGGCTCATCCAGCCTAGAACGAACTGAACCATTTCCTCGCAGCGCCCCCTGATCTCCTCCCTCCGCACTTTCTCCTCTCACGGCGGACGTCATCCTCTCCTCCACTCGTGGCATTGGGTCATCCAGGAGAGAACGAATGGGACCTCCTTCAAGCAACCTCACCTGCTCTCCAGCGCCCCCTCTTTCCCTGCTCTGCGAGGACGATCTCATCCTTTCTTCATCCACGCGAGGTATTGCCTTGTCCTGGAGAAGAGGAATCGCAACGTGTTCTCGTAACCCCACCTCCCCTCGACCCCACTTTCTCTTCTCTCTAAGTACGATCTCACCCTTTCCTCAACACTTGGCAGCGCCTCATCCAGCAGAGAACGAACTGAACCATTTCCTCGCAGAGCCCCCTGATCTACTCCCTCCGCACTTTCTCCTCTCACGGCGGACGTCATCCTCTCCTCCACTCGTGGCATTGGGTCATCCTTAAAAAATATTATGATTGAGTATTACTTTGTCAGTAGTCAGTATTTTTGTCTTTAAGGATAAATAAATTATTATAGTAATATCTAAATGAAGGTCCTTTTCTAATAGAAATATCTTGTGTTTTTTTCCTAATTAAAGGGTTGTAAACCCTACACAAAACTGCATGTCTACCTCGACCCGCCACTGATGAAGTCTATTCGCGCAAGATTCTTGATACACGAGCTCCCTAGTCCTCATCAGCGCTGATAGCACGGCACGTTGAGAGGATACTTAGTTCGACTGCGGAACCGGCACGTACAATTATACAATGCTACCAACAACCACCTCGTTACTTTCACAATCAATCGTAGCATTTCTCGGGGACACGTTTGGAGAGTTAAGTTCATGCCCGCATTGGGTAAGCTCTTTTAAGGCGTGACCGTAGTCAGAGCCCTCCTCTCTCGCACCCCCCGCTGAGGAATATCATGAAAACGTTTGCCGTATACAATTTGCCTGCCGTAGGTACACTCCACTGATTTCGGCGTGCCTGTTTTCCTTCGCCTGCCCATGAACCATCCGGACGTAGTGTTCGTGTGCTGTTGGCCAGAGGAGCTGACAGTCACACTATGGCTGCCGACGGCATGCGTGCTGCACCCCGCTGCTCTCCACGACAGCAGAGCCCGCTCTTTAGGTTCTGCTTGTCGACGCGGAGCGCGCGGTCGTAAACGCCAGGACGGCCCGGGCAAACTCCGTTGCACTACGCGGCGGCCCACAATCAACAGGAGGGTAGTGCGCGCCCTGCGTATCTGCCGGTGCCGACAAGAACCCTCACGCCTGGAGTGGAGACTGGAGAGGGACATGAAGCCGTACGAGTTGGCAACGCAGGACGTCGTCAGGGAACTCTTCGCCCATGAATGATTAAGGGAGGTTTGTCCGGCCGAAACTACAATATCGATGTCTGCGCCATGACTGTTGGAAAGTTTCGTCTCATATGAGAATCTGTGCCAGAAGAAGATCGAGATGCGGACTGATTGCTATACTGTGAATAATACTTCTGTCGACTTGACAGCTGGGAGTGGGGAGGCAATGGTGCCACTTACTCGGGTGGGCAAACACTGGTCGTTCTTGCGTCAGTGTAAGACAACACATCCAACTTATTTGTATATATTGTAAAAATGACACTTGTTTATTTTATGAAGTACTGATACACAATTTATCCGCAGCCCTTACACTAATTCCCCGCACAATAAACGGAATAACGGATAGTTTTGCATAACACGCGCAAAGCTGATGAAATGTACAGCGAAGGGGATACTTAGTATTATGAAAGATTATTAAAGAGAGAAAAGTATCTAACTCGAGGCATTCTTGACTTGAATACATACTTTTCATCGGAACTTTCACAACTACAACATTTGCAGTACTTTTGTGGAAGTTTACTTGTTTCTTTACTTGTAATACATATGTTTCCAGGAATGCGCTCTTCCAAATGGCATTATCATAAAAGATAGAAATTAGAAATAGCCTTAAAGGTGGATGTTACATATACCATGGTCAGTAATATCCCGCCTGGTAAGTATTACACTGTGAATATAGGCACAAAAAGCACACGACGCATAACCAAAACAAGTTAATGGCAACGGCAGTCTCAATTCATTGCTTCCGCTAATGAGATTTCATTTTTCTAATAAACGTGGTAATCCTATAGTGACAATCATCACACTTTTGAAGCCTCTAATTGAAATAAACAAACCTTTCTCCTCTGTCAACGCGAGCTGGTAGACAGAGGTTTTATTCATAAGTTATCTCCATTGCTGTGTTTGTGGACGAGTATGAGGAGCTAGGACCGGCGCACCGATTGCTACTCGTTTTGGGTCAAGCACCAGATTACGTCACGAACCACGTGACCACAGCACGTGGCCCCAGGTTGCTTGTCAAGCAAAAATGTAAGAAACGTTAAAATAAAAATAAAAATAAAGTTTTAAAAAATAAAAAAATCTTTCAAATTATGGTAGCTGTGACTTAAATATTTCGTAAAGAAACATATTTTTGTGAGATAAATTGTCAAATGATTATTGTGAAGATTGATGCAACAAATAGAACTTTAAAAGAAACATTATTTGGCAACGTTACCCCCGTTGCCTTATCGTAAACTCTCAGGGACTGGTGTATTATCCGCGCACGTTTTGCTTGAAAGCCTCAGCTTCGCAGGGTAGCGGAGAGGAGTGAGGTAGTTTGACAAAGGATTTTTTATAATCAAATTTGTTTAGTTCGTTTTTTCGATGAAAAATAGTATTCTGCTTACACAGGAGCAAAACTTATCCCATTAAAATTACGTCCATAACGGTCGTAGTATCATTATTCTTAATTTAACTGTTGACAAATGGTGGGGGTTAGGTTATCAGGCTCAAGAAACGTGCGCATATTATACAATGTATGTATTTTATAAAATGGAAAAAAAAAAATTGTAAGTTGTTGATTGTTACCGTGAAATGATTAATTAATTTATGCAAAAAACGGTACACTACGGCCCAATTCCAAACTTTCATTGTACATTCATGTCATAAGACACTTTTCCCGTTTTTCTTACCTTTCTAAAATTTCTTTCTTCCATGAGTCTTATCGCTTTTCAAATTCAAATCCCATTTTCTATAATAAGTGATCAAATGTGTAGAATATTTGAAAATTTTAGGTAAATGTTAACATCTTTCATTACACACACGGCTATTGTTAACAATTTTTTGATGCAAGATTTATTTTAATTACATTTCCGAAGTCCCGGAAAAGTGTAAAAAAGTGACCGTAATATTGAAAAATATTTTTGCTCACATTTTCACTTTGATTATGTGTCATTGGAATTTGATCGTTTTTAATAGAATGAATTGATAAACATTTATGAGCTCAAAATGTCACGAAATTAATACCTGGTTACAAATATGTCCGATTACATTTCAATATTAAAAAAGTCGCCATTTCCGGCGCACCATAAACATAATTTTCTTTCCTTACGAAAGTGTTTTCGGAAGACGAGAAAGTTAAAAAAAAAAAAAAAAGGTTTAAAATGTTTCGTGTCATGGGGCGGCTGTTGCCGGTTACCCTAGGCTAGTCAACAATAATAGTCGGCTAGCCCTACGCAATTTATAGTACTGCATATTGGTAGGGGCGGGTCCAGCGATCATGTGAGCGGAGCCATCATAGATTATTGGTTAAAATAATAAAATTTTTATTTAAAAAAATTAGTTAAATTTTTATGTTGTAGTGTACACATTGATACAATGCAATATTATTTTTTAAATTTAATTTACACAATTCTAATAAACAATGGAAAAATAAATGATAAGTATTGTGATATTCAATTTGAAAATAAAAGAAAATTAGTTGGAACAAAGTCTAAAATCTCGTTGAGTGCTTCTTTCTTTGGGGGTGAGGGGGTGTTTAGTGTGTCATGGGTGCCCAATAGCTACCCCTTGATCGCACAATAGCTAAGCGTGTGTTTAATCTAACACTGCACGATGTCGCTTGCATGTTTCTTGACTTAACATCGTCCGTCGCGACCCTCACGTAGGCCGCGACTCGCACTTCAAAACAATCACAGAAGTGCATCCAAAAGAACTTCGGGTTTGATACGAAATAATTTATCATTTTCTCTAATAATTGAAACTGGAAAATTTTTATATTGGACTTCAAAACGAAAAATATTCTCAGCAACGATATATTTTTAATGTACACATTTTGTTGATAATGCATTTTTTAAAGGGACCATTTTGATTTATTAATGAAATGAAAGCATTTTTCTCAGCAGAAGAACTGGAAATATTGCATCGATTTTCCCCAAATAATTCCACCAATTTTTGGATGTTTTAATGATTGAATAAAAGGGGTTTGAAAAGTCGGTTGTGAAGAAATTCAGCGCTTTTGTTATTTTATTTAATATGGATGACTCATTTTTTTCATGATTACCATTGCGTTCTCGAAATTTTCTGTAGAACTAATTGTTTTAACTTATTTGTGCAGGAATTTGATTTGAAAACAGCACCCTTCCATAAGTAATAACATTGACCATAAGAGCCTTTGTGCCTTTGTCGACGCGGAAATTAGAGTTACAACAAGGCGCAGAAGAAAAATCGACACGTATACCCGTTAAATTTAACCATGGTGGAAATACCATGTTTTTAACCAGCTTCGGGCGCCATTCAGCATCTGACACTTGCTACCCAGGTACGGTCCTAGACCAAGGCCACTTGAAAAGGCGACTTTCAGAAGTTCAAAAGTCGCGAGTTCGGCACAGCTCCCATTGAAAATATACTGGGAAATAACTCACGTGACGCTTAGAACGCACAAACGAAAATCAAAATTTGGCTGCGATTTAGAGAGCTTCGATTGTGCTCAGACCATACATGTTTCTTATTTTCCCGATTTTCCATTTAAAGGTTGGCAAAATCTGTTAAGTGACTACGCGGCAAGCCCGCCTATAGTGAAATGGTTTTATTTAAATTGTCCTTTGTAATTTTGAAAATAAATTGTGTCGAAATAGTTAAAATAATTGTAAATAGCAAACGCTAGGGCTGTAAGTTGTGCGAAAAATCAGCAATATTTCACGCCAGCTGTTTATGGTACAGTGGGAGGAAGGTTTACCAAAAATCTGTCAAACTTAAATTTCCCTGTTCGGATTTCAGTATTGTGTATGGGGAATGTGTTTTTGTGTTCAAGAGGGCGAAAGTGAAAAGAGAATAATTAAACAATTCATACTACCTGTGGGAATTTCGAAAGTTTTAAAGGTTAAAGTTGTTTATGTTGATAATCCTTTCTGCTAGCTATGCGTAGTTCACCAGCAGAAGGGTACTCACCTGTAGATAATTACTTATCTGTAAAACTGAATATGTCAGTGATTTGAAAGGTACTATTTGTTGCAGTGCTGGCATGATTAATATTATTTCCACAGAATGCAATATGTAACATGAACCGTATGAGAAATAAATTTTTGATGTTGGAAGTAGTGAATATTTTCCATTTAGAAATTGACACAACACTGACCAGCAATAAATTAGGCCATTTTATCCAAAAACTGATTTCAAACATTCCATGAGGCGAATTGATCCTTTGGAATTACAATTATTGAGACCAAGTACTTGCCACTGTTAATAGCATATTAAAATGTTTAATTCAAGATTAGAAAAGTTAAATGTGAATTTCAGATATAATGTCAAAGATTTTGTCTTCGCAACAAGGAACTATGAACATCAGAAAGCACCATATCCTCTGATTAGAATTTGTAATTTGTCCATAAATCAAAAATGAATTGAATTGAAAATATGGAGAATAGAAGAATTTGAAAGTAAAATAATCAACACTTTTAAATTGTATTACACCTTGGTGATTTATTGTTTTATGAAGACATCAATTCAGCTTTTTTTAAAAATATTTTTTAAAATTAAATGAAAATTTCATGTTCAATATAACAAATATGAAATATATGGAAAAGATTTCAGCGCAATGTTGTGTTGGTGCCATGTATACCAGAAGAAATCAATATTTTCTAATTGAATTTTGTTTAATTTGTTTAGAAAGAGTGTTTTGTTTCATTATTCTTTGAAGCAATTAAAAATTAGAACATTTATTGGGACATTAAATTTGAAGTGTGCTTTGATGATCCATTAATCCGTAAATTAATCAATTACCAATAAGTGTACGAATGTACCCAAGTTTTTAGGACTTTTTAATAATGAATGATGTGAGAGGAAATTGGGAAGGTGTCACATTACAAAGTACAGTGGATTCAATTTGCTTAAGAAAAGAATTGAATAAAATTTGAACTTAAAATATTATTGTAAGATTGTTTAGGAAATGTGTTACACTAAGATGAAGCTGCTGACTGAAATTACTTATACTCATTAAAAAAAATACAATCTTTCAAAGAATGAGTTCCTGCATATTTCATTGAATTTAGAAGATGTATATTAGTATTTGCTTAAGATGTAGGTGGAAAATTCCAATTATAACACTAAGTATGATGTTGTAGTTTTTTAA